TAGTAGTTTTCAATTTCTACTAACTTGGTTTTAGTATGTCGAATTCAAAGGCAGTCAATAATTGACTACTTACTGTGAATTTGAAGAGCTTTTTATTTGTACGGAGCTGGATTGCCTATTCAGGATGGATGCGAGTCCGATTTTCCAGAAATTAATGTTGGAACCGTACATTACCACTAAGCCTACATTTACATAATAGAGGTCAAATTAAGATTAGGAATATTAGAAATCTAGAGAAGGTTCTTATGATCCGAATAGAAGGTGTAAGTTGATTCTTTTTAAATTTATTTTAATTAATATGAATGGGGCACTTAATTACATTCGTATTTGAAAGTAAAAAACCGCAACGCCATAAATAATTAAGCCATAAATCAGTCGGAGTAGTCGTAAAACTTACTTAAAGGTATGTAAGTGCTCACAGGAGCCCGAGTTACGACATTTTTAAACCCTTAGAACACTACCCCAGATCGTAACAGCTTCTCATCTCATTTGGGACGTGAAATTTTACTGATACCACGTGATGATGACTTTGACAACCTGATCTCGTATTTTTTAAGAAAATTGGTGCTCTAATTACCCTAACGTGGTGTTCATTTCTGTGGACGACATCGGGCGTGAAATCGTCACAACGTCTCGTCTGACATATTCTCGTTTCCGTAGACGGCTCACATTTCGCGTTCAGGTTCGATCTTCTGCTCGACAATCCGGCGCCGCAATCGCTGCTGCACGTTGACCATTTCGAAAAGATTGGCTGGCAAGATGGTGGTTCTTCTACTAAACACACAGGCCTATTTTATAACATTGACAAAGTGTGTATGTTACCTGTTTGGCTGTCGCACATCCACTCACGACAGCACTGTCCGGGGACGTCCACCAGTCGTGGGTGCTTACATGTTCCTTTTGGAGATATGCGCTCTTGAGGGCACAAGGAGGAGCAACCATAAGTGCCGTTCTAAAAAAAGAAAATCGTCCCTTTAACATGATGACATCCAGCATCCCTGAACTAACATTATTCCAGCACTTCGTGCCTGCAAATGTTGATTTAGTCAAAAGGCTAATGCATCGATCCCTTACAAATAACGCCGACCCTACTTGCCACCTGTTGCAAGCGACGATATTCTAAATTTAATTAAAATTTAATCAGAAGAACAGCACCCCATTGCTTTTTTAAAGGGCGAGATTCTTCCAGTAGTTGTCGTTTAACCTTAATCAAGAATTGACTTTATAAATTCACGCTAATTTGGTCTACTGCTGGTGCCCGTGCCGAAATCGATATACTGAAGGGCAAACATCTTACTTGTTACAGTATCAGAAAGGCGCTTGATATATCGCATCGGTCCCTTGTTATTTATCCCGTAAATTCCCGACTTCATTCTGGATGCTGATGTGATTTATTTTAACCATACTTTAGCATCTAGGAACAGAAATTTTTATCGGTAAATCGTTCATTGCGCATTTTCTTCATGTTCCCAGAAAAATCGTTACCTATACCTACTCATTTTTCGCTCACGTGGTTTTTAGTTTGTTTCCAACGTTTGGAAAAAGTGTGTTCATTTTAAACTTTGATCGCTAGGGAGCTAAGGGTAATCGTTTCTCAAATTTTCCATAGATAGTCATTGATTTATGCGAAGGTATTATTTTTGGACGAAGCTATCGGCAACCTCTAAGAGCAATCCTAATAGCGTGCTGACAATTTTCGATAGGCTTCCGCGTTCGGTAAATTTAAAAAACAGTCAAGGATTATTGTCTGTGATGAACACAGATTATACGTTTCCTTGATTAAATGGCTCCACGTGCTCGAATGTGAATCAAACTGAAATAAATGTTGTCCAGCACAGATACTTTAGTCAAATATTCAGACATATACTTACAGTGTGAATAATTTTTCGTATCCCATATAGGAAAGTAGTGCATTGTTTAAATATTAAACAACGGTTATAGTTACCTTAGAAATTAAAGCTGCAGTAATGTTTTTAAAACCAATCGCAGTAACTGTGGAAATTTAAACAAGAACAAAAGAGTTTTTCACTTGTCATCTCTGTCACAAAATCAGTTTAGTGAACAATATAATTTATAAGAACCACAATGTAACAAAATAATAATTACACAAATGATGATAATTGTTAAGAGGTGTAATGTAATGTGTAATGAAGAAGGATAATACATATGTCTTAAGTTTTAATAATTATTTCTGTCACTGCTTTTCGTTTGTTTTCTTCCCTTCCTGTTGTAAATTTTATGTTTTTGTTTAAATTTCCACAGCTACTGCGATTGGTTCTAGATACATTACTGTAACTTTAATTTCTAAGGTAATTCGATATTGATATATTGACATTTAAAAAGAATTTCAAGCTCTTTAAGAATATTACAGAAAAAAGTAATCGTTCTATTTAAAAAAATTAATTTGTTTTCTGATGCTCTTTTGTTTTAATATCACTTGTTTTTTTGAATATGCAGCTTTATCAGAAATTGAAAGTAGAGTCTTTTTGCTTCTTACACTTTTTTCCTATCTCCAATAATAAAGAAAATATACGCTCGGACACGTAAAATCAATCACACCGTATAGGCTATATACAGATTTACGTAATTTCCCTAAGATGTGACTTTTAAAATTGACAACAGTTGCATATTTTAGGTGACCTAATGAAAATATTTAGTCAAAATTTGAATTTTATATTTAATTTATTGTAATCTCTAAATTAAACACGCACACACAAAAAAACGAAATATTAGATTTCATCTCCTAGCTGTCAGTTTATCAGAAAATTTGGTCACAAAAAATGTCACAGTATACTCGAAATAAAGTGTTAAATGTTAATATAGATTGTAGCCATTTTCGTTACCTAAATACTTTCATGTACCTATTCATTTAAAAGAAAATCTCTCTGGCATTGCTTACCTGACATGTACATTGTGTACGACAGTCTAACGTGAATGTTTCACCATGCTCGTACGTTTTATTATACACCAAACAGGGGAGACCTCCCGATTCTGTAACAGTAAAATTTTATTGCGATACAATTTACATTTCTGTTTTAATAATTACAATTTTAGTAAATGTATTTGTAGAAGAATTCACCAAACCGTCCCCATACTTGCTATTTTATTAGTAACTTTTAAGCGACTAATGAAAGTCATGTCATCTTCTGGGTTAGATATTGATAATGATTTACACCTTTCAAAGGCGAAGTTAGCAAATATTAAAGAAAGCATCAGGAACAATTTTTAAATTAAGTAATGAAAAGTAAAATATTAAAAGACATCTTAAATTGTTGAATTAAATTTAATTAACCTCGAAGGCCTGATGGCGACCACAGCAATATTCTTATCCTATGGCTAATCCTGTATGCCCTGTTTATTGTAGTAGTGAAACCGTTGAAGTACAGCAATTTTCATTTTTTGGCCATTTTAAAGTAAGCCGTGTAACGGTAGCTCTAAATTTGGATTTATTTTTTTCGAGTTTTGGATAGAGATAGGTAAAGTTGAAAATAACAAGATTTGTTGGAAAAACAAAAGTATAATGTCACTAGAAATACATTACATTCCGAACAACGTTTGCATAAGTTGAATCAATAAACTGGTTCCATGCGGCGTTCCATTTTTCGAGAGCAATTGCCTTTTCTTCTTCCGGAAGAAGGCTGTAGGTCAAACTATTTTCGGCCAACTTCTTCAACAACCTAAGGTCCGCATTCCTACTTGCAATGCCCATAAACATCATGTAAAAATCGTAACTTAAACCCTTAGTTCCCCAAAATGTGGGATCATCATTACCGACCACAACCGGAACGCCTCTTGCCATGAGCGAACCCGCTGGATGATTGCGCATATCTGCCACCAACATTAACACCTGATTTGAAATTGGACAGATTTCAACTGCAATATTGCGGTCCTTAATCAATTTGGTTACCAAGGGATGCTTAATTGCGCCGAAACCGTGTCCGATTCGCTTAGTCCCGAGTAGCACGGCATCAAACAGGTTCAAATCGCTACTGGCACCGTACCAATTCGTTTCGCCCGCGTGAAACACCAAGTCGATACCACTAGATACATTTCCAAGTTCATTTACGAAGTTTGAGAGAGGTTGTCCTAGATCTTCTTGCCCGACTAGATCGAAACCCACGATAAAATCGGGATATGTGCGTTTAAGTTCGTTCACCGTGTTCACGTACTTTTTCACTTCTTCAGTTGTGGCCATTCGCATCGGGGCATATATAAATTTTGCACCAATAAAATCGGGATGATCTCGTTTAAATTCTTCCACAGCAAATCGGTAAATGCCCGCAGTTTCGATTTCAGAGTATTCCTTGCCGTTTATTTCGTATACTGTCGAAAGGACCCCTCTTATTTCAACGTAGTTTACTTTGTCTTCGTAGAGCTCCTTAAGCGCTTCATATACGTACTTAACCAAGAAAGGTCGGTACATAATCATTGGGGTAATTGTTCCAAAAATATTTTGGAAAGCTGACCAGACCGCGTTAATATCGTTGTAACCTCCATCTGCAAGATGTAGCGTTAACTGAGACCGTAACAATTGGTCGTAGGTATCATTGGAATTCCTCAAATCCTCGAGCAGTTTCCAATCGCACGATTGGTTTCGAGTCTGCGAGTGCGAAAACGTTAACTTTAGCCTGCCATCGACAATGCAAGCGTACAAGCCCTTCTCGTATGTCATATTATACAACCTCTCGAACGACAGCATTGCAGTCTCGTGCCCATGTAGCAAGCCACCTTTTGGTATCGCTCGTATGAACTCAAACACTTTCGATTTTTCCACACTCGCACGCACATCGAAAAAGAGACGACTCGGTAAGAACTTGGCAGGCTCACTTATACCAGCATCATATTCGGCCAACTTGATTCCCATCAAATAGTTATTAACAACCTGTTCCCTTGCATTGAGCACTACATCGCTACCAAGCATCTGCGAGGATTCATCCTCAATTAGTGTTTTTCGTTCTAACCAATAATCGGCCAATGATAAACACACGAGTGTTGCAAAATATAAGCACTTTACTAGCAACATCGTAATTAAAAGTAAGAATTTCAATCGTCTCCGTTTCAAATTTATACCGTTCCTCGATCCTCGGTCCTCGCGATAAAGCCACTTGAAGAAATACTTAAAATATAATCTTATCGCTGGGTTGCTACGAAGTTCTAATTGGTGTAACCATTGGTAGGTATCTGTTTAAAAAGAAACGAATTCTATCATTCTTTTTAAATCGGGCTAAAGCCATGTCGTTATGGTCTGCACCCTCCTTAGTTGACAAGACGAACTGAAGTCATTTTTTCAGTGCACAGTGTTGTTTCCATAAAGTAAGCCAGCAATCCATTTTCGGTCTCTTGTCCTTACACCAAGCCAAGAAAATAGTTCGCTTCTTAGAATTTTGGGGTATCAATTCGTGCGAAACCGCCATTCCGCAACGTCCGGTGGGGTACATATACCTTTTTCATCTTCAGTGTCGTCAAAATCCACCCTAACACTTCTACAGTAGTAGGTACACCACAAATTGTCTGTAACAAGTGACGATTTTCAAACAACCCTGTTTTGTCATGGCAACCGGCTTACTTGATCATTTACAATATTGAAACATCCAACTACAATCAGACTACATGATTTTCTGCCGTTATTTGGCTAGTTGAAATTTCTAATTTCTAGAATTTCGCATACCGAAACGATCATTGAAAAACTCGTATAATACATTCATACTCCATCATTTTCAATAAAAGCGTTTCCGCACTTATATTTCAATGTACCTACTATTTCTGAAAGTATCTATTTTTTCCTTGTTTTCAACTGGCTATACTAACACAATAAGTCAATAGAGAAATTATTGTTCTACGCATACAAGTTCTCAAAGTCCCACTTTTGAGAGAAAATAATAGACAAAGGGAGAGTTTTCCATAACGGTTCGCTAATGTTAATCTCGAAAATACGTCGAAATAAAGTTTTAAATTCCATTAGCATCAAAAAGATTTAGTATATGCAAAGTAACCAGAGAAACTTCAAGCTGAGATCCCGTAGGAATTACCTTGGAGTGTTGGAGCATTTATACCAACGATGGTAAACTCTCGTTTAGTGATTCTTTTTTATCGTCATACGCTATAATCTAAAATGTATACCTAATAACATTGACAGAGCACAATTCATTACGTTACCTCATTCGATTTTGTCACCATTTTGATAGGTACCTAATGAATTTCGGTCCTAAAATTTTGTAATCTCGCAAATGGAAGGGATTTATAAACAAAGAACGCAGTTTCGTTTACATACGTGAAAATGATGGATGTTTCACATTTTTGGACGTTTACTTAGGCCGAGAAAGTTATTCTACATCGTAAAGGCGTGCGGATTTCGAGAAATCGTTTGAAAATAACACGCACGGAAACATTGTTAGAAAGCTCCCGCCGGCGGCGGTGAGAACCGCGATAAAATTCACTTTAAGGATCAAAAATAAACTACACGAAAATCTTATTTAACCACACATTGAATAAGTTCTAAAGGGTTTTTAAAGAATTAACGTACCTTACCTAAAAGCAACCAGCCAGTATAAAATATAGCAGATGGAATGACATTACCACAACCTCATACGCGATAGCCACAAAACACCTTTAGAGCAAACAACATGCGTGCCAAACTTCAAATTTTCTGTGTACATACTGTAGTGAACGTTCCAGAAATCCCGAAAGACATCGAGGCGCCATGATAGATTAGTCATCGGGAAAAATGACGTCTTTATTTGTAGAACATCTTGAATCGTTCTAGAACAACTGTCGTTTAAGTCCAAATCATGAACTTGCTTTAGGACCTCGTTAATAATTAACTGTTATATATTTATGTGTTTGAGGGCTGTTATAAATTCAATTAATTGTATACAAATAAATCACGTTACAGGATGTTCGATTATGAATTGATCAATCCGTTAGTAAACGAATTCTAACAGCTGAAACTGAAATGTATTATAAAAATCCGTATCTCTCATTTTCATTTTGGTAGATATATCTCCAGAGTCTTATTGTTTCATGAACATTCATGCGTTTCAGGATAGTTCAATCAAATAGTTAGGTAGTTCCTGCTGTTCGCTACGAAAAGCTTGTTCCCCTCTGACTGTTGAGTCCTCTAAACTTCGGCGATGTTTTGCGAATCGATATATTTTACCTTAAAACGATTGTGCTCTGAAATGGGTTTAGCACTATTGACAGTTTAGTCAATCTATAATTTACGAGCGAGTGCAGGGACGTTTTCTGATATTAACAACGTGATGTGAACAAAGATTACTAACTTTTATACCGATTTAACTTTAAATGAAACTTTTTGGGGCGGCTTTTAGTTAATGCCAGTCTCTGTAAGTTTTCCATTTCCATTATTACAAACCTGGTTACATTTAGATTTATTTAAATTAACTTTTTCGAGAGACTTAAATATTCATGAAACGTGCAAAATACGCACCTTGGCAAATACCGTCGATGTCACCGTGACGGTATCGACAAAATATGCCTCTTCTACTGTCGCACAGCTTGTGTGGACTGCAGGGCTCGCCAACTTGTCTTGGGCACTCGAGGCACTCCTCGCACGGTTGGTTTTCTGGACATGTACAAGAGGAGTAGGTGCAGTTCTCCTGAAAGATAAGTTTTTCGTTCAAAAGTTTGAAAACTTTTAATGGGGCGGCCATCACACTTACGTTCCGTGGTTAATATTGCGAAAATTTACTCTCAACGAAAGCCACTGTGTAATTGCCACTCGCAAAATGCAAATCGACTATAAATATTTGCATACTGATAATGGGAACTGCAAAAGGACGGGACGACAAAGGAATGTACACAATGCGAATACCGGAAAATGTTTCCAGATAATTTGAGTTTAACTTTGTAATATACAAACAAAATTACCTATTGATTTCATACTTTTAGGAATCACTTTAGATTGGAACAAATCGTGGTGTTTTTACCTGAAAATAATAAATTGAGATCATTCGACTTCATGAAATAAAATATTGACCATTTTGACGTGTTCCACGCATCATTAAACTTTATTGTTTAAAAGTCAATCTGAACAGCGATCAGATTCAATTGTTCACACAGAAGGTCCGTAAGTCACATTGTATCAAACGCCTACAAATTGAAACGTTTCGACAGCAAAAATATCATCATCAACGAATTACCCATTCGTTGTGTGTTTAGTTAGTATACACGATGCTGATTGTGATTAAAATACAAACATGCAACATTGCATCTCGTCTCTTGCACCATAAAGGATCTAAAAGGCCTTTGTCTCTATAAATTCTAAACTTTCTTATAGTCAAAAGCCTTTCAAATGTACGCTCATTACCTTTGTACCCAGTTGCAACGGCACTTTGAACCGGACGTTTAATAGGTCTTCGTCGTCGGGTGCTTATATCTTTGACTTAAACAGAAAAAAAGAAATTTCTAAGGTACATACACGAGCTTTGATCTTTATTACATCCTTGCAGTTCCATAAAGGGATGGCGGCTTATTCCGTTTTGATAACCCGAATACGAAAACAAACGACTTCCCTAAATCTTTAATATTTGAAAACGGTAAAATAAATGGCGCAAAGGTTAGATTATGTTATAAATTTTAATTGCTGATAGGAAATAGAATTTTAGGTGAAGCTAGAGCTGTCGATTGTATAAGTATAACAAAACGGATCGAAGGTACACTCGGCGACTAAGATCAATCGTCCTGATTAAAATTTGGCATCAAAGTAAATAACGACTGTAATAGAGGTCGGATTCGGACTTTTATAAAATTGCAATCATTTCTAGCTTATGTCCAGATTTAGCTTAATACAACGAAAAGCTTCATAAATGACAAAGCGGCTCCATTACAATTTTAAAACTTTCTAAGCCTCAATATTTTATAACGTTTCAAACTAATTCTTTTTTAATTAACTTTTTTACGACCTAAATTTATTGTAACGGTCGATGATTATGACATACAGGAGAAGCCGGCGAATTCCCTCATTAAATTCGCGGATACGGCGACGCTCGGAATTGCAAAGTTTCAAGAGTTAAATTAAATTGTATGGCAAATAGATAAGTTGCTTTCGGATTAGTTAAACTCAATTTCGCACAAAAACAACGTTTCAAGATTACTTTCCATTCTATATATAAATCAGGTTTGCTAGATAAATATGCGATGTTTCAATGGAAAATCAACGCCGAAGAAAAACAGTTCATTTCAAATATGGGAATGTAATACCTAAATTACAAAACTGCCCCTATTTTCTAATATGGAATTCGTGAGCGAAGGAAAAAATCCAACCGTGTCCGCTCATAGTTTACGCACGCGGCCTAATGAAGACTATTCCTGGACGTAGGACGTAGTATAGTTAAGATTTTCCTCGGTCACCTTTTGTGATATTTTATAATAATAATAATAATAATAATAATAATGCCTTTATTGAGCTACACCTTACACGAAAAAAAAAGTTTGTTTTTATTACCAACTACTCACTACTCAAAGGGCGGAGTTCAGATTGTAATAAAAATTATTACTCCCTGCTCTTCCACTCAACCCAAAATTGAAAGTTTAAATGATGATACCATTAAAAAAAAATAAAAAAAAAAAATAAAACAACGTAACTATACTCCCTACTTACGGAGAGAAAAAGAAAGTAACTATACTACTGATGATCTTAAGAAAAGACGAAGAGAAAAAAAAATAGAAAACACACATTTGAACTACAGATAACAATTGCAACATCACCTGGCTACTGTGCTTGCTTTTGTTGTATGAACATCTTGCAGTTCCTCTTAAACTGTTTTAAAGAAAGTGATTTGAGATTTAGAGGGAGTGGGTTATAACTCTTGTAGATGTTGTAACTAAAGCATCTTTGAAATAAAGCTGTTTGATGGAGTGGCGGACTTACTAAACCCCTAAATCTCAAATTTAAATTATGTACGTCGGTTCTATAGGTTATTTTATCATGGAGGTACGCCGGTGTCTTATTTAGGATGATAGAATGGTAAAGCACAAGACTATGATGCAGTCGCCTATTTTTCATATTGAGCCAATTTAAATATTTCAATTTATACGTGATTCTATCATATTTCCTTATGCCGAAAATTAATCGCATACAACCATTCTGCAACTTTTGAATGCGCCGTTCATCATTAGTATCTAGACAAGTATTATAAAGTATATCACAGTAATTCAACTTAGAAAGGACTAGAGATTCACAAAGAAGAGTTTTTATGTTTGTATTTAAAGAGTGTCTAATAGAGTAAATCTTTTTAAGATTGCCGTAGGCTTTTTGGAGACAAATAGAAATATGGTTTTTAAAACGCAATTTATTATCAAGATTAAGACCTAAATTAGTTACAACATCTTTAAAAGTAATCGCTTCATTCCTAATATTAATATTGATTTGAGACATTAGCATTTCCCGCTGATTTGCGCCGCTGAACAATATTGCAATAGATTTGCTTGAATTTAAATGTAGAGAGTGAGATTGAAATGTGTTTTGCAAAGCATCTAGGTCTGCGTTTATGCGTTTACAAGCGTTACCTACATCTGCAGCTGGAAATGAATAGTAGATCTGCGTATCATCAGCATAAGAATGTAATGTGGTATATTGAAGACAATTTACTATGGTGCATGTGTAAATAAGAAACAATAATGGTCCAAGAATGGACCCTTGTGGTACTCCCCGGGTGACATTTTTAAAAGTCGATATTTTACCTGAGATTTTAACTGCTTGTTTCCTGTTGGAAAGATAACTGTCAATCAAGGCTATGGCTCCCGGACTGAAACGTACGTAATGTAAAATAGCTAGAAGCATGGCGTGATCTAACGTATCAAATGCTTTAGAGAGATCTAGCAAAACAAGAATAGTTGCTTTCCCCTGGTCCAGTGCGGAAATTATATCATCTACAATTTTCAAAAGAGCAGTGCAACAACTGTGCATAGATCTGAATCCAGATTGGACATCCGGGATTAACTTATTTAAGGACAAATGAGTTCTAATTTGTTTTTCAATTACTTTTTCTAAGATTTTTGATAAAGTTGGTAGAATACTGATTGGACGAAAATCATTTAGATTAGATGGAGATAATTTCTTAGCTACAGGGATAATATAAGCAAGTTTCCATTGTGCCGGAAATAGCGAATTTCTTAAGCAAAAGTTGATCATGTGTACTATAAACTTAAGTAGATACGGTACACAAAGTTTGATAATTCTTAAATTAATACCATCTACTCCAGTGGCTGTAGATTAATTCATAGCGTTAATAACCTTAAGCACTTCGTCTTCAGTAGTTGGTTGGAAAATAAGAACAGAACTTGCTGGGTGTTTTGTATTATTTAAGTAAAACTGTAGTTGTAACTGATTGTTAAATTTGTGATATTTTCACTGGCCTCTGGCGTTCAGATGAGCGCTAAAGGGAAAACTAGATCTACTGTAGTTAATTTTTGATAATCTTCAAAAGGTGCTATAATTCCTGATCTCATGGTTCATGACAATGTCGTAATAAACCTATTTCGTTTTCTCTTTGAAGCAATCTTTATTCCCAAGAAAGCAACTCGTTGCCTTTTGAGGTCGGTCTACGTTCGCAAATTTAAAATTAATTTCTTCTAGAGGAAGAAAGATATGTAAATAGAAACTGCAAACCTCTAAGGTATCTGCAAAGTATTAATTAATTTGGTTTCGTTTTAAAAAAGCAAATATTTAATCTCGAAACTTCGTGCAAATGTTTACATGCAGAAATCACCTCATTAGCTCTTTATGTAGGTATAGCAAATGATACGCGAAGGGTTCATTTTATTCTGCAAAGCCCATCATTAAAGAGTTCGCTTATACATAGCTACTTTCATGCAATTGATAGGCGACTACGAATTTAATTATCAATTGACTTTTACGCCTTGACGCGTTGAAGAAAAATTCTAATTATCGTCACCCCGACCATTCGGAGGTAACGCTGTAATTAGCTTGCCGTAACTGCGCGGACGAGACCTATTAGGTACACCCTCGTCTCCGCTTTATTCCCGAGCAGTTTTCAAGAAAATGCTATTGTCTCTCGTCTTTGGATTGTTCGAACTTCCTATCGAGAATTGTATACACTTAATTAAGGGTGAATATTGTTCTCGTGTAATTTTGTGCTTGGGTCATTCGAGCGTTTTTTATCCTTCTTCCGATTCTTTGTGCGATTTTCTGTATTCCATCCCTTTCATTGTTTTCCGAAATTGCTATCGACGTCTATACCGGTACAGATGTGAACAAAGTTCTGATATATGCCTTCTATGACGAGCGGAGCACTGCTGTTTGTTTCCTATTTCCGCACAAAAATATCATGTAAATTTCCTGTAGAAAAATTTATAAAGCCGTTCCATTTTCGATTGGCACGATTTTCAAGCGTCTTTAAAAGAAACACCGATCCATTCAAACGGTCAATTAGAAATGTACGTATTTGACCTTACCAATACGCTGATTGCATTTTACATCCATTTTGATTTCGTAATTTGAATAAGGAAGAGATCCATATGAAATTTTGTTGAGTTAGGAAGCAAGAAATTTGAGGAATGCGAGGAAAAATGAGTTAACGAAGGTCTATTTTATATTATACATCAAAAGCACCCTCGGATTTCGGCCACTTCCCGTAGACCTGCCGGGATTGCTGTTGATGATTGAGTATTCGTCGGGTTATGAAGATAAATCGTTACAGTTGTCATTTTTTTAAAACATCAATTGCTATTCTTTTTGCTCGCAACACTGGTTTCCATTTTGTCTTACGTAACGGGAAAACAACAGAAAAGCATCTCTATTTTTTGCCGTAAAAATCTCTCGTTGTCTAAATAAAAGGAAGTCTAAACACAATGTGCTCACAAACAAAGAATTATTTATCGTGCCTTTACGTTCTGTCTTCCATGCCTTCTATCGCCTACAAAAGGTTAAAATTATTTGATATCTTGACGTTCAACGAAGTGTTTCCTTTTACGCCTACAACTAAATATTTTACAGCTTGATTTTCTTTTACCTCCACCTAACTTTTATTAGATCTATGAAGCCATTATTGATGCTTGGGATATTTTGTGAATATGTAATAGGAACATCACCCTGCAAGTTGGATCGATTTTAACTTTGCGAGCCTAATGTGCAGCCAGACCCACAAATTTATTCTAAGTATTTTCGCTATTAGTTTCGTCAAACATATGTTACATAGGGCGTAATCGTGTTTTTAACATATGCCATCAATAATTTTTCTGTAGACAAATTGGCAATAAAATTAACTAACCGGAAAATCTATACGTTTAAGTTTGGTGGTCCTCCACAAAGCAGCGTCTTCCTTTCTACTCCTAACGTCCAAAGCTTCTCCCGACGCACTTAAAACGCCCATGACAAGCACCGCACTCCACATCTGTAACAAAAAAAGGAATTTTCAAACCTTCATTGCTCATGAATGATGTTAACTTGACAGACAACGTTTTTTAACGGCGCGAAATGGTTTGTACGAGAAATTATCTACATTAACCAAGTAAAATGGCCGATTAAACCGAAACTGTAAATGCTATATATAAGTAAGACCCCAAGGAAGCAAAACTCTGTGAATAGCCGCAAAAAATTTATTAAAATTCATTTATGGAGTATCGGAGAGCTATAGGCGCTTAAGACGTGTTCAAATTCAAATGAGAATATAAAAAAATAATAGACAGAATTACACTGTAAATCTGTAAGGTTTTACCAAATGAATTGATTAAACAAAATTATTGATTTCAAGTTTAATTGCAGTATGTATTTACAAATGAGGTGCGAATTACAAGCATAAATCAAAGTCTGCACAGTAAAATGACCTCCATATCAATAAGTTAGAAGCATTAGCGATCTAATAAACGTAGGAAAGCAACTTGTAGGGGTAATATTTACAAAGTTACCCTTTTAGAAGTTCACTATTCATAACCCTAATTAACGTGCCTATTCAATTCTAAGGTTGTCAAACGAGAGATCTCCTAAGATTTTGATTGTCAACTCCCCCGTTTCCATATTTTCTGTTTATCTGTATGCATGTAAAGCTCGAGCTTTGACGTATATAACACCGCCGCCGCTACGTCGACTAATTGCTTCTATAGCTTAATTTAATGAATAGGTAGGTATAGTACGTTGCGGGGTTAATTACTGTCTTGGAGTTGTTAGAGGTTACCTAACAACGTTTTCCCTTAAAAAATTTAATTAATATTCATGCCTAATCCTTCTCATCGTTAATTTTCATTTACACTTTTTATACGGCTTAAAACTTATTTGTTCACGCTACTCGGATTTTTTAATAAACTACTATAACTACATATTATATTACAGGCAACCAAAAACGACTATTAAATAAAGCACAGTGTACAGCCTTGCATTTCAAAAATCAATTTAAAAAAAGGTTCTTCAATTCAAAAAGCTTATCCTTTAGATTCTCTCATATCTGTCACGAATGGTTTAATAATTGTAATGTAAAAGTTAGTTACTATGGTTTTATGATTTAAAACAAAATTAATTATGAAAAAAAGGTTTTCAGTGCTGTCATTATAAGATAAATAATAAGTACGTCACAACTTACAATTAAAAAACGATTTTGTATTGAAGAAAAGTGTATAATCGAACATTCTCCGCTTGTTGGCTTCTTACATTGTCCGTGGAAAAACTTATACGGCAATACTCTGACAATGCTAAAACAAACATAACGCATGTTTGAAATAATATGAGATGTATACCTACTTCCACCCCTTTAAGCTTTTCAATTTTCAATCATATTCTAATATTTCCACCCCCTCAAGCGTCTCCATTTTCAGTCATATTCTGATTAATCCCCAGTAGCAAAACAATCTCGTTTATCGAATATTTAAATTCGTTCTCAACATTGAAAAGCCGCCTCAATTTGTCTCCCCGCCCTCGCCCACATTTACCCTCGTTATCGGGAGTGTGATTAATTATTACCTAATCGTGGTTCCCTCCAGAAAGATATTGTTTTTTTTATGGAACTGCGTTCATTCCCAATACGCTCAACAATGGCTGGATATCAATCTGAATTATCGTTGTTCGAAATAACGATTCGCATATTGACAAGCTTAACGAGACAAATTCATTCAAAGCAAATGAATCGTGTTACCGAAACTGTTTGAATTTAGTAAAGAAACTGGCCATATTGCGGTCATGCACTTGTATTTGAATTGCCAATTCAAACAGAACATGCGAGTCTAGAATTCCACTTCAGTTCATCTCAATAAGATCAAAGAAAAATGATAATCAGCCCGCGTTCGACTATATTTGAAATTTATCACCTCCGCAGTCATTTTCAAGCAAACGTCGCAAATCCACAGATCATTAAACTTAAGACTTCTGCCAACTTTCAGATCGTACAGTACACTTAACTTTCAGGTTTGAATGGGTGCGAAATTATTTGGGAAACATTGTCTATTTTGTTAATTGTTATCAGTTTAATCGATATCCTCATTTAACTTTTAACGAAGAGGATCATTAGAAGTTTCGAGATAACGTTTCTAATTAAGGGATCTTCCACTTTTATTAAAAGTTTAGGGTTTTCCTGTTGTTAAATTAACAACACTTTTATGCATTTTTTATGGCGTGCCTGAAATTGTAACCGCTCACTGCGGATATCCTTTAATTTTATCGTGTCAGTGCCTAATCCTTTTTTACAAAGTTAATTTTAAACTTTTTCTATTTCATATACGGTTGTTAGTACTTTTATAGATAGGTACTATTCCTCTTTACAACGACAAGAGCAACACGAACTGAAGTAGGTAATTGCGATGGCCTGCCATTAAAATTTTGCACCAAAGTGCCTAATAATATGCCTACTCAAGCAATGCAGGAGTAATGCAAAGGAAACGGATTACAAGTGGAATTGTGACAGTTTCATTGTCATTTGTGCAGTTTTTGCACCCCTAATCATTATACCCTTTTTTTCTCTCTCTCTCTCTCTCTGCTATTAAAAATCGCTTCCGATAAATATACGGTTGCGAATATAACACATATTCAAATCAACAAGGTTTGGGTGGAAAATCTAGAAATAAACTTTCAAGTAAAGTGTTCAATGCTTTTCCGATGTTTCAGCCTCAACTTTAGAAAGCTTTCGCTTAATACAAGTTGTATTTCAAATCGTAAGCACTACCTTTAATAAATTGCTAAATACACAGAATAAGTGCTCCCTGGAAAAACGCTGAACTTTATTCGAAATGAAAGCTCTAGCACAAAAAAAGTTATAAGAAAAGGTTTAATAAACTAAAAACATATTTCATTTCGATTCAGAATAAATGTTGAATGAAATCCAAGTTAAACGCATTGAAGCGTTAAAAGGTAGATTATGTTTAATACCGATATAGTCGTCCTTTCTTATTTGATAACACAAAAGGGGTATATTAAATCCTTCGAATACATCTAGAACAATGCATGGTCGGTTGCTGCAAATGAGCCGTGAAATGAATTCTCATATGGAAATTTTTGACTTTACACTACAACGGATTCAACGAAAGCTTTGACGTTGACAAATACAATAAACCGATACAACGAAATATCGAAGGATCCTCAGTATTACAATCACTTTTAACGACAATTTATTTTAATCTTACAAAATACATTTTATAGTTAACAAAAATGCATCAAATTCATGTCTTGGGCTTTGAGATAATGCTCTTGGTTTTTTTCTCAACGATCTTGGTGCATAAATAACGATTTTGACATGTTTTGATCAAAATCCACGTGGTCGCCAAAAATGCATCAAATTCATGTCTTGGGCATTGAGATAATGCGCCTAGTCTTTTTCCCAACGATCTTGGTGCATAAATAACGATTTTGACATGTTTTGATCAAAATCCACGTGGTCGCCAAAAATGCATCAAATTCATGTCTTGGGCATTGAGATAATGCGCTTAGTCTTTTTCCCAACGCTCTTGGTGCATAAATAACGATTTTGACATGTTTTGATCAAAATCCACGTGGTCGCCAAAAATGCATCAAATTCATGTCTTGGGCATTGAGATAATGCGCTTAGTCTTTTTCCCAACGCTCTTGGTGCATAAATAACGATTTTGACATGTTTTGATCAAAATCCACGTGGTCGCCAAAAATGCATCAAATTCATGTCTTGGGCATTGAGATAATGCGCATAGTCTTTTTCCCAACGATCTTGGTGCATAAATAACGATTTTGACATATTTTAATCAAAATCCATGTGGCCTCAGAAAAATAATTTAACATTTTTGAATCACACACATGCGGTTATCAAACGTGCACGTTATCAACTCTTTCAGCATCAAGATAATGAGTTTGAAAGCTTTTACAACTCTAAATTCATGTGTAAAGAATAATTTTGGGTACATTTTGCTCTAAAACTTTTGACCGAGACCACAGAGAAGAGTTATATTGAATTGTTACACTTCTAAGAGTCATAGGGAATAATCTAGCGAAAGTCCGAACTCGATACATGACCTAGGGAATGAAATATGTTGATTTTTATTATATTGAGTTCGCAGTTTTTCCTGTTCCCGATTCACTCGAAGCCGTATAACTTTTGTTCCTGTTGAACCAGCTTCCTGAAAATCAATAGCGTCCGTTCTTAATGTCCAACGTACCCGTATACCAAATTTCAACACAATCGGCCACTTTTAAAAAGAGTTAGAGCGCACACGGACGGACGGACGGACGGACGGACGACAATACAAAACTATAAAGGATCTGAGGATCCTTAATAATCTTCGTTGCTTGAATAGCTACCGAACAAGTTTAGTACCTACTACCACAGACAAAATACTCTACTTTTGCCTCATTAAAAAATTCGACACCATTTTCGGTTTAAAGCGTTTAAATAGGGCAAGTTAAATAAAAATACCATAATGGCGTTACGTGTTCGTCAATTTATTATCACAAAAGTCGTTATCTTCATCGCTTTCATGAACTAAGAGCAGTAAATAGAAATTTGCATGAATTGCGTGCGATGCAAATTAAAATAATTTGCTACGTGTGCTTTTCCACACCATTTCCAAGTTTTTCCGAATAAAATCTAGAGCATTGTTTATTCAAATGTCGCGAGCAAGTCGAATATATAGAAATCTTAAACTAAGAAGCATTTGTCAATTGGCAAAATTTGTAAATTGCAAAAGGCGCGCATTTTGTCAAAATAGAAACCTAAATTTAATATAAAGGTTTTATTTGCAAATATTGTTTTAACTATGTACGTCGTCCACCGAACCGTGGAAAGAAGCAAAGAAAATACGACAAATTTTCTATACAAATTTAATGATAGAATTTTATGTATAACATCAAAGGCACTTTCATTTGAAATTAAAATTAAATTGTAAATAACTGTACTCATTATAAAGTAACGAAGGCGTATTTCGAAATTTTGCTTTTCAAAAATAA